TTTTAATGATTTGCTTTTGTAACTAAATGCCTTTAATCCTACCTTTCGTTATGTCTCTTGCATTGGTTAATTGTTAACGGAAACCAATTGATCTTGTCTTGCTGGTGTCTGGTGTGATCGAGTGTTATATGTGTTAGATTGTGTTGTTCTTTAAGGATTGACACGCCCTATGGAGAGGAAACTAGTATGCTTGAAAGAAATTTATGAATTACTGATTTTGTTTAAATTGTTATGTTGTTCTTTTATTGTTTAGGCCATAAGCAAAATTTGCCTTTTGTTTTAAGGTTTCACATGCAATGCACATTGGTCATTGATCAGTACCATCGAAGATAGTAAGAAACTTAGAGCAGTTGCAAGCATCAAGAAATGATCATTAGAGCCAGAAGTCTTTCTCCATCAAAGTTGAAATCCATTTATTCTCTTGCCCTTTTCTTTACTAAACCACCCTTTACTTCAACTACATTAGCAAATCCACTAATACCCGAGGGTACATCCCAAATTTCCAGCAAGTTTTCACACATCCTCTTCTTCACCAATCATTTCTCCTCCCAATCTACAGCCTCATCATCAGCACCAAAAAAGCTTCAACAACATCGGCAGAAGCCAGAGCCATCTTCTTCTAAGCCTTTGACCCTGAACCGTGATGGAAACTATGATGATGCCACTCCCCACAATGTTGTTTGCCCGGGATGTGGGGTTCACATGCAGGACTCAGACCCTAAAAATGTTGGGTTCTTCATCAAGCCCCCAACAAAGACCAAGGATCCAATGCTCAAAACAAGTTCCCGTCACTGGGTACCTGTTTCAACAGAACCCGAATTCACAGTCTTTCTCAAGAAAGGCCTGATTTTAAAGGAAAAATGTGAAAGCCCTGAGCTTGTAGAAGAAAACCTAGATACAGAAACACCTGAAAAGCCTGTGGTTTGTGCTAGATGCCACTCATTGCGCTACTATGGCAAGGTGAAGGATCCAACAATGGAGAACTTATTGCCAGAATTTGATTTTGACCATACGGTTGGGAGAAGATTGAGATCGGTGTCTGGAGCTCGATCAGTTGTGTTAATGGTGGTTGACGCGTCAGATTTTGATGGATCATTTCCTAGAAAAGTAGCAAAACTTGTATCTGATGTAACTGAAGATAATTACTCATCTTGGAAGCTGGGGATGTCTGGAAATGTTCCTAGGGTTGTGCTTGTGGTTACTAAGATTGATCTTTTACCTAGCTCATTGTCACCTATGCGATTTGAATATTGGGCACGGCAGAAAGCGAGGGAGGGTGGAGCTAGCAAGATTGCAAAATTGCATTTTGTGAGTCCTGTGAAGGATTGGGGAGTGAAGAACTTGGTGGATGATATTGTGGAGATGGCAGGGCCTAGAGGTACTGTGTGGGCAGTGGGAGCGCAGAATGCTGGAAAGAGTACATTGATCAATGCCATTGGGAAGTGTGTTGGTGGGAAGATTGGTTTCTTAACAGAGGCACCGGTTCCTGGAACAACATTGGGCATAGTAAGAGTGGAAGGAGTGCTGCCAGGACAGGCAAAGTTATTTGATACTCCAGGGTTATTGCAGCCACATCAGATGACAACTAGGTTGACTAGGGAGGAGCTGAAACTTGTCTATGTTAGTAAGGAGTTGAAACCAAGGACATATAGAATCAAGGTGAAGTCTCAAAATAAGTAGCATTAGTCTACGTTCCATATAATTTCTCCTGTTAAATATGCTAACTACCTAATTTTTAGCTAGGATTGACTGTTGCTATGTTATGTAAATATGTTTTTTTTCCGCTTATTTTGGTCAAATTAGATTCTTTATTTGTTTTTTCGGGCTGATTTTTTGTTTCAAATATTCTCTGGTTAATGGGAAGATGGGGATGGGGGCAAGCCGCTGCAGAAATCTGTGTTTCACTTTTTCATTCCTTCTATAGTATAATGCTTTATGACTGGGCTAATGCTAATAGATTCAAATATGACAGGCTGGTAATACAGTTCATATTGCTGGACTAATGAGACTGGACGTTGAAGAGTCATCTGTAGAATCTCTATATGTTACAGTTTGGGCATCCCCTTATCTACCATTACACATGGGGAAAACTGAAAATGCACAGAGAATACTAGAAGAGCATATTGGTCATCAGTTACAGGTATGTGATCTCAATTGAGTAATATCTTTCGCTTCATATAATTGATTAGTGATGCACTGGAAAATGCTTTTATGTCATTCTGCCCTATTCAGATTTTCATTTTGCAATATAAATATTCTTCCTGGAATTGATATAGCCTTCGGAAGCATGGCATGTTTCATATAATTTTCCCTTTACACCATTTTGGTTGTGTATAATGTTACCGTTGACACTTTTGGTCTGCTGTTTGATTTAGCCACCAATTGGGGAGCATAGGGTAGGAGAGCTTGGAAATTGGGTGAGAAAAGAATTCCATGTTTCTGGTAATAGCTGGGATTGTAGTTCAGTGGACATTGCTGCTGCTGGTATTGGTTGGTTTGCTATTGGACTTAAAGGAGAGGCAGTTTTAGGGGTTTGGACCTATGATGGTGTCGACGTTGTCCTTCGCAACGCTTTACTTCCTCATAGAGCACAGCTTTTTGAAGAGGCCGGATTCACAGTTTCTAAAATCGTCTCCAAGGCTGACCAAACTTTGAACAAGTCAAGGAAGCAGATTGAAAGGAAGAAACAAAATGACCAGAAAACAGCCATAGCAGCTGAAAGTTGACCCCGGATCATGTTATTGGTAATCCTGGCTGCAAAAGATCCTTGAACATGGGAGGTAAAATCCTGACATGAACCGTTTGAGGAAAGAGAAAGGCGGTAACAATCTCAAGTGACCTATGCATCATTGGGAAGAGATGACCTTGAAAAAAAGCATGTGTTTGGTACCGCCATTACAATTTGGGAAACTTCTTTATCAAGCTTGATTCAATAAGGTATGATACTGTGGCATTTCATTTTCGTTTTGTGGATGGATAAAAATGCAAAACGCTAATTACTCGACTACCGTAGGATTTGTATCTTATTGTTGTTGACATAATGTTGCAGTGAACCACATTGAAATCCTTATAGAATTTTGGAGTTTGGACAATGCTATATTAAGTTTCTATTAAGAATTTTGGATAATATTATATTTTTTGCGCCACTCTTTCATTCATTGTTTATTTTAATCAAGTTTTTACTTTAATATTTAATGGTTCTTGTAATTAACTTATATCCTAATAAAACATTGTTAACTCAAAATATTTTATTCATGTAAATTTATAATTATTAATTTGTAAATTATTTTTAAAATATTATTTAATATGTTAGTTAAATTAATACATTATTAAACATAATTTTTAGTTAGAATTTAGTGAAAATCAGAGGGTCAATTTGCATTGATTATCTGACCCACTTATGGTTCTTATGAATCTCCGTCATAACTATAAACAATGCAACAAATTCACCCCGACAACTTGGATTTTTATTTTTCCAACCATTTCTTTACGAACAAATTAATTATGATGTGTGCATTTCCTTATCGCCATAACCGTCACCTTGGGTACAGCTTGCAACCCAATGAAATTCATCGGACACTCGTCATATTTGTCAGGTTCTTCTGATTTTTCTCCTTTTTGCCTTATGCCTTGGGATAAGCTTAATGCAAAACTCATTTTTCTTGCAAAGTCTGTTGCCACCACCAGCAGTTACAACCGGAAAGTTTCCTCACGTGGCATGGTTATATCCACTAGCTTCTAAAACCGTTGCCTACACCGATACAACATGTTCACTCTATGGGTCACATTGTAGGCTACGGGAAGTTGTTTCTGAGACTAAAGAGTGCTTACTAAGAGAGGAGTCGGTGACTTTTATGTATGACCATGGCCACAAGTAGGACAGCAACTTTAGACTGGTTTGTTATTACAGCCGGCAATCATAGTTGGCCAGCATGTTGGATCGAGTAGGACTGTTTATCGGTTGGTCTTACGGACGACACGGCACACGTGACACTTGAGAATAGCAGGTTTATAGTTGGCGAAGGACGGGTAAAAGCATGAATAGGATCGATGATGCATGCGAGACATAGATGAGATGCAGACAAGCTTAAAATAACTCTGCCCTATCTTCTCACTCGAAAACAGTGGGACATAATGGGCTATGACCCAAGGTGCGGGGCCAATCATTTGTCCGCCACCAAATGTTTATATCTTGAGCTGTTTTTCTTGTTATAAAAAAGGCTTCAAGATCCTCCACAGGCTCAAAAACTAAAAAACGAAGAAGAAGAAAATCGCATTATTTGCAGAGATTAGCAAGAGAAGAAAGGTTTTGATATGGGACAACGCTGGAATCCCATGAGGAGTGTGAAGATTGGATCATGGCAAAGGTGTTGGAATCAAATTAGAGAGCAAAGGGGAAGACTTTATATTATATGGAGATGTACAGGGTTACTCCTTTGTTGGCATGAATGAACATCAGCTTTAATCTTATCGTGCTAATGTGGATCTTATCGTGCGAGTTAACTGACCTTGGATCATGGGCCTTGCAACTTAAGGCATCTAAGCATCTGGCTTCGCTTATACAACTTTTTACTTTAAATAATGTTGTTTATCTATGTTATGAAATTTTGGATATTTGATAATCACTTGAATCTCAATTATATTTAGAGATGAATTAGGATGGACAAACTTAAAAAAATCATAATAACAATTTGGCACCTAAAAAAGATTATCAGTTAATGAATAGAAGAAAATGGATAAATAAAGCCATTGAGAAACCTAAACTTTGTCCATAACATCAAGAAACAACCCCCATCCTCTTGGACATGTCTATTTCCATATTCTTTTCGCCTCATAACAAATCTTAATAATATAAGGAAGAAAGCAACATGTTTATGAATGAACCGAGTATAAATTGAACTAAATACGAACTAATGCAGACATATTAAAATCCCATCAATTCTTTACTTCACATTATCTAAGTAAAGCAAAAACAAATAAGAAAGATTGAGGTATAGAAAATGACAAAGGTGGTGATCATAGCAATATCATTTCTCTTGTCATTGTTTACCGTAGCCGTGCCTACAAAACTGCCACGGCTAAGAGGTTCGCCTCGTCCAATTTGTGTTTCTCAAATTAGCATACTGAACTACGCATGCGGAGGGCTGCCGTTATCCCCGTTCCCACCTCCATCTCATCACCGGAACAGTCACGGTCGCAGTAGTCGCAAGCACAGGCATAGGCGTAGGCACGGGCAACGCAGGTCGGACAGACAAAACTATTGTTGTCAATGGCTGCGGCAGGTGGACGATGAGTGTGTGTGTGACGTGCTGGCTCACTTGCCTCCCTTCCTTTCCAGGCCTAACCATCAGTACTCGATCGCCATCGGTGATACCTGCACCATCAGGTTTTCATGTGGAGGGCGACTAGTACCATGATTGCACCACCATCTGGTTTTGTGCTTAATTCTAAGTAATTGAATATAATTCAATAATAGTGTTAAACAGATAATTTTTTACTTCAATAAAACATTTCTATGACTGTAGATCTCCATTTTCATGGAACTGCACGATTATTTAGTGATTTGGAAATCATTCCCGAGCTGGAAAAGTTTTCACTATAGATTATAGTTAGAAATAGACACATGATTTTATATAAGGAGACGGCTGTCTCCTCGATCGATCTCTGATTATAGTAATGGGATTAGATACTCCAAAGGTTACCATCATATCAAGAATCGTATCGACAATAACTACAACCGGTAATATACATTATTATAAAAAAATCTCTAAAACTTTCTTGAAATGTATCATGTAATATACTAATTAATACTTGATATTGTATGACAATGTCACGAGAAATATACGTGACATGAGAGAATATAGAAAAGAGAAGAAAAAGAGTTGATACCCAATAAAAGTGCTTTCCTTTTCTTCAGATACTTCAAAATTTAAGCCAAAAGTGTTGTTATTTTGCTCTCTTGTGGTTCCATAAGCACTTTTCATTTAAAAAAATAAATAAATTTCGAATCTGTTTATGCCTTTGTGATATGAATCGCAGTATGAGGAGAGCTAAATAGTGGACCAGCTTGTTGTTTGTTTGCACGTTCGTACGTGGTTCTCCCCCTAAGATCCAAAACAAGTTCAACAATCAATCACAAATATTAAATTATTTTCTAATCTATAACCATAGTATTTAATTATTTTAGAATAAATCATGATGAAGAATTAAAAGAATGGTTCTGATAAACAAGAGTTATATATTCTCTTAAATTGATTTAGGTTCGAATAATATTATTCATAGATGAGAATAAAGTCATTTGTTCGGTGGGAGAGACTGCTGCTCTCAATATTTTTGGTAGAACAATATTGTACGTCCTTATTATTTATAAGTTGTTATACATTTGATCGGTTAACCAAACCGTTCATCTTTATTTTCTCATATTCTCTTGAGTTATAAGTTGAATTGTCCGTTCAGCTCAGTTGGTAAGAGTGCAAGGCTCTTAACCTTGTGATCGTGGGATCGAGTCTCACGGTGGGTAATTCATAATTCTGACTGTTGGAGGTCTCTCACGGAAACTGCTCTCAACGTGACGTTGGGAGCAGCCTACTATCCTACCTCCCTTATCCCTGAAAATAGGGTCAGCTAATTTATAAAATCACAACAAAATATTAAATAGAGAAAATAACCTCAGTGACCAAAAATCCCATATAATATACGATTTTAACCAACTTTTTCCGGATTTGCCAAAATGACCAACAAAATCGCAATGCGATCGCTAATTCGCAACGCGATCTCCATTATCGCAAATTCGCGTTGCATTTTCGCAATGCGATAGTTGAAAATCGCGTTGCGATGGTCTACAGTATCGTTGCGATTTTCCCAATTCGCAATGCGAATAAGTAAATTGCAACGCAAATTGGGAAAATCGCAATGCGAATAAGTAAATTGCAACGCGAATTGGGAAAATCGCAATGCGATACTGACTATCGCAATGCGATAATAAAAAATCGCAACGAGATACTTACTTTCGCAACGCGATACTGACTTTCGCAACGCGATAATACATAATCGCAATGCGATTTTCAAAGCGCCATTAATATCCTGGCCAAGTATTTTATTTTTAAATTCCAAACATGAATATTAATATATTGGAACACTGAACTGTCCACAGTATATCCCGTAATCGCAACTCATAACCTAAAACCTAAAATCACAACTCAGTCCCATCTCCATCTCTCACTCTCTCACCCATCTCCGACGAAATCCGTCCCCATCTCCGGCGAAATCCGTCTATCTAAATCTCTCAGAGCCACCCTCACAATCAGAAATGGAAAATCAACCAAATCAACCAACGAGGGTTAGTTTTTTTAATTATTTTCTTTTTGAAATTTTTGCATTATTATTAGGTTTTTCATATTGAAATTGATGATAAGTTTACTGGTAATTTCAATAATAGATTAACCATTTCACTTAGATTGCTTATTAAATCAACCAAGAATCGCAACGCGAAATGCAAATCGCAACGCGATTTTAGTTTCGCGTTGCGATTCTCTCGTTGCGATAGTCATTTTCGTGTTGCGATTTTCATTTTCAGAAACTATTCTTCTTCTGCAAATTGAAACTTGAATGAATTGCATTACTTCAACCAAAAAACAAAGACAAATACGAAATTCACAGTGTTGCATATTTAAGTTTGAAGAATAAACTACTACTATTTATGTTTATTATTGTTTTTGGTATATCTTCACAGTGTAGTTTTTGGTATATCTAATTTAGTATGTTTATTGTTTTTGTAGAACTTTTATTCGGCTCAATTGACCTTGAGAAATAAAGTCAGCCTGGCCAAAACAATTGCGTCGAAGCTTTCACCTGCACAAAGAAAAATGTTTGAGGATACATGCTTCGGGCCATGGCTGAAAGTACAACATCCCAGTAGAGATGCGATGTTGACACACCTGTTTCTTCAAACCATGATTAGAGATCTACCAGAGACTATACAACGTCGTGATGAAGAGATATGGTTTGATTTTCCACCGGCGTATACGTGTTTTGGGCGGGAGGAGTTTTGCTTAATCACCGGTCTACGCTTCGGACACGATGATGTAGGTCGGTACACTAGACACATTACCCGCCCATCATGGCTATCCCGGGTTTTTCCTGAGCTGGAGAGGCCGAGTCTACACGTAGAAGACCTGACAAGATTTTTGAATAATAAAGATGGTTTTACTCGGATGGATGACGTCGACGTTGTCCGAGTATGCCTTCTAATTCTTTTGCATGCCGGCTTTTTAGGCAGAGAGGCCAGACAACCTATTCCAAATGATCTAATCAAATTGGTAGAAGACCTAAATGCGTGGAACCTGTTTCCGTGGGGCTCGTATTTATGGAAAACTACATGGAATAAGTTATCGTCTGCCTTGGATGATCGAAAAAGTTTGCATGGCGATGGTTCCAAATACACTTTGACAGGCTTTATTTGGGCCTTTAAGGTAAGAATTTTTTATATAATGTTTCCAAAATTATAAGTAATTATTTAACAATTACTAATGTTTGTTATTATATTGTTTGTAGATTTGGATATTTGAGGCCTTTCCCGCCATGAAGACATATGCAATAAAAACTTCAAATAATATTCCCAGGGCTATTTCCTGGAAGAGGAAACGAACCTTGCAATGGGAAGATTTACTACGGTATACGACAATAAATAATGTAAGTTAACATAAATACTACCATATGTTTATAAACAAGTTATTACTAGTACACATTTAACTTTGTTTGAGCTTTTATATTGTTAGGAGGCCAACACTCCTCTACAGAGGCTGACACCCACGGAATATGAGCTTGCCACTGATTGGTGGCAAGCTAGTAAGCATTTTTTTTAATGGAACGGTTGATGAGCAGCCTCCACTTCGGGAGCCATCACCTCGCCCAGAGCTATCACCTCACCCAGAGCCATCATCTGATCGACCCGGCTATACACCTCCACAACGACAGCCATCACCTATTCTGTCACATCATCGAGCCTCTTCTCCACCATCACCGCAAGATAGGCGACCGGCAAAGATGCCACGACGTTTATCTCCCTGTTCTCCACCTCCACCTCAACGGGATGAGTTAAGGGAGTTACGTGATGAGGTCAATGCCTTGCGTGAGGAGGTCGGTACTTTACACAAAGACGATGGTGCATGGCGTGTTGAGGTGTCTACATTACGCGGTGAGGTAGCCGCTCTACGTGAGATGGTAGCATCGTTGCAGAATGAGGTTCATACTCTACGCAACGAGGTAAGTTTAAGATTTTTCATACTCGTAATTCATTCGGTTGCTGCCAATCTGTTTTTGTTAGTATTTGTTTTTGGTTTTGATTTTGTCTTTTGGTTGAAGTAATGCAATCCATTCAAGTTTCAATTTGCAGAAGAAGAATAGTTTACTTTCGCAACACGAAAATGACTATCGCAACGCGGAAATGGCTATCGCAATGCGAAATGAAAATCGTAACGATAAAATCGCAACGCGAAATGAAATCGCAACGACAAAATCGCAACGCGAAATGAAAATCGCAATGCGATTTGTGTTTCGCGTTGCGATTTTGTCGTTGCGATTTCATTTCGCGTTGCGATTTTGTCGTTGCGATTTTCATTTCGCATTGCGATAGCCATTTCCGCGTTGCGATAGTCATTTCGCGTTGCGATTTTAAGTTTCGTGTTGCGAAAGTAAACTATTCTTCTTCTGGAATGTTTATATATGTTGTCCTTTTAAATGTTTATATAAGTGCTTACTTCTGGAATGTTATCTGAGCATTTTGTGAACTATGATAGAATAATGATTTGGGTGAATACAATGCTAGTTTGAAACATATTTGTCTTTGTTTAATATCATGTCTGTTTATTTACTGATTTATGTATTAATTTTTTTTAGCGGCCCGATAAGGTGGATGCTTTACGTCGGGTTTTCCTTGCACGAAGGAGTTCACGCATCAGACGGCATGGACGTGCTATTACGTCTCCGTTCACCCCAATGGTGCGAAGACTCCGCAAGAAGAAGCCCGACTCACCGGTCATCCCTCATGAGTCCCCTCCAATCGTTCAAGAGGCCCCTATTCTCCCTCAAGATTCCCCCCCACCGTTCAAGAGGCCACTGTCATCGTTGAAGAGGTCCCTCCCACCATTCCAGAGCCCGATTCACATGGGGTAATATATCGAAGTATTGAGAAACCCCCACCGGTTCCGAACATGATGGATGAGAGTTGGCTCTCGTATGAGTTACCGGCTAGTACCCTTCCGGTATCTGAAGTGGAGAGAAGACAATTACCGGAAACAATTGTGGATAATACCCTTTGGGCTAAGACCGCAGTTGATTTTTATCTACATGAGCGGAGCCAAGGGTGTTACACTGACATCAGCAAACTCAACGATGAAATGTTTTTGTTGCTTGATCG